CAGAGACAGAGACAGAGACAGAGACAGAGACAGAGACAGAGACAGAGACAGAGACAGAGACAGAGACAGAGACAGAGACAGAGACAGAGACAGAGACAGAGACAGAGACAGAGACAGAGACAGAGACAGAGACAGAGACAGAGACAGAGACAGAGACAGAGACAGAGACAGAGACAGACACACAGAGAGAGATCCAGGACAGCCAGGGTTGTTACATGAGAAATCCTGTCTTGGAAAAAAAAGGATAAAAGGAAGCTTCAGAAATTATATAAGTAAATGAAGGTATACAGACTGAACACATGATACTGAGTAAATACTGAGTCATTAAAGAAATAAAAGGGAAATCAACATTTTTCCAACCATGCCTATATACTCCTACTACAAATAATAAAAAATTATACTATCCTATTTGCTTAATAATATCTCAAAAGCCATATTGTATCTCTCTTTTCTTGTACATCCTTATACAATGTAATGGAAAAGAATAAATTTAAGCCTAAAGGAAGATAATTCTTAAAACTTATGAACACAGAATTATCATACCAAATGATAAGAAATTAAAAAATCAACAACAAGTGTGACATAAAGCAATAAATGCTTCAGAAAAAGGATAAGATTTCAAATAACAGCCTAATATTATGCATATCAAAGACCAGGAAACACAAAGACAGGTCAAATCCAAAATAACAAAGACCAAAGACTACATAAAGAAAAAATATACTTAAAAGGATAGATAATGAAGAGCTGTTTATCGAGAGTATACACAAAATCAAGAAACTTTCAGATAGAATAACTGAGACAGAATATAAAAAACATTCAGTTAATTTATCTTACAAAGAAGGGGGCATTGCAACCAGTATAAGAGGACCATGGAGAGTCCTTAGTGACCTGTGAGCACCAGTGCACCAACAACCTGAAAACCTCAGAACATGACTCCAGGGCCAGCTGCCCATCTGTCTCCTCCCTGGAAACCCTCCTGTCAGACTCCAGAAACTATGCTACCTATTTTTATGCAGCTGAGACAGGGTATATAGTCTATTGCTGGGTTGAAGAATCAAGATCATTGTGTACACTTTTTTAAAACTGCAATGTCTTGATGCTGTATTAAAATAAAACTTGCTATGGGACATGGAATAATGCAGGGGCCATGGGAATATACACAATTGCCAACTAGTATTTCAGAGATCAACTCACCAGACAAATGATTCCCTGGTGGAAGGGTTACTTTGCAGAACCAAGGGGTTATTCACTGCAATGGACTGGTTGTTTTCCATTTGTAACTATCTTTTGTGCCACTGCTATTCCTCCCTAATAAGAACAGCTGTGGGGTTTTTGCCACAGCCCTTTTCTGGTGTGTTTTACATTTCTTGGGCACACACATACCTGTGGATGATCAGGAAAGATGATTTTTGTTGTATAATTTTACTAAATATAAATAATCCTAGGATATTTTACATTACTTTAACAGGATTCTCAGTTACAAAACAGCCTTTTAAACAGACAGCTAATTTATGACTCCAGAACAAATTCAAAGCAGGTCTGGTGGCCCTGGAGGCAAATATCTGGTTGCCCTAGGGACACATATATGAGGTAATTTTCCCAGATGTTGTTTTGATGATTGAGTGTCAGAGCTTGAAACAACTTATTAAACATAACTTCACTTTCTGCATGTGCTCCATACAACTCAAGATTCACCCAATTGTTTACTGTCTGGGAATCCTCACCAACTTTGAGCTACATGCTTGGGCCTGGTGTTACCCACTGGCAATTCAGTGTGACATCCCTAGCCTAAGAGAATCTATGTGACATCCCTAGCCTAAAGAGAAACTATGTGACATTCCTAGCCTAAGAGAATGTGACATCCCTAGCCTAAGAGAAACCAAGTGACTTTGTCTTGTGTTATGATAAAGGGTCATGGGTTGGACCCTAAAAAAGTCAGTAGTAGTTGTCCAGAGTTTGGCTGTGGAGACAACTGGGTAGAGCTGTGAAAAGAGAATGTGTAGAGATAACTAGGAATCTGTGAAAAGCTATGTAGCAGCGTGGAGACAGTGATCTTTTCAGACAGAAGTTTTATGATAAAGTAAAAGAGAAGGTTAGCATAAGAAAAGCATGTATTTCCTCCTTTTGTCTTAGATTTCCATCCACCCTAAGATAAGATTTTTCAAGGCTCTCGCTACTCTGAGTTTTTCTCTTGCTACCCTGGCTAGCCTGCCATGGGCCGCATGCCTTGTTGCTATAAGAAAGTAAAACTTGCTGTGGGATTTGGAACAATGCTGTCAGAAGCTACCTTTTCTGGTACCAATATTTTCAGATGTCAAACTTTCCTCATATGGGTTTAATGCAAAAGATATTTTGAATTTTCCAAGAAAAACCAAAACATACGAATGGCTTTGGAAGGCATTAGTAGTTTGGCTACATGGCCCAAGCAAAAGAACCAGATGTAAATTAAGTGTGAAAAATTATTATTATTATTATTATTATTATTATTATTATTATGTTTTGAGGATTTTAACTAAGATATCCTCTAGTTGGAGTTAGGAGTGTTAGCTTAATTTCCAAGCTTGTTTTTTAAAAAGCATAGTTTTCAGTCTGTAGTCTGGTTAGACGTCCAGGCTGAGGCATCCCAAAGTGAGGGATTTTATTTTATTTTAATTATATGTCTGCTACAAAATATTATACTTGCATCACAGAGACAGTATAAAAAAATCTGAAAAGGCCTTATATGCCATGTACAATATTTAATAAATCAATTTCATCTAAAAAATTGGAAAGGGAAAGAAAAACATGGATACATTTCTAGATATAGATCATTTCTCAAAATTAAACAGTTAGGACTTAGAAAACCAGATTAGACTAACATGAGTAATGGGACTGCATAAACAAGAAGTCACCCAACAAAGAAACACCTGGCCCCTGATGGCTCTGCAGCTGAATCCTACCAAATTGTGAAAGAAGCATCACTTATTCTCAAACTGTTCTACCAGGTCAGCATTTCCCCACACCAAAAAGGAGACAGAGCCCCAAGAGACAGAACTACAGACCAATGTCAGTGATGAACATAGACACAAAAACACTCAACAAGATATTAAAACATCAGAATGGTCTCCAAGGTGACCGTGGTGGATGGATCCCACCACCATAAATGTAAGGATGGTTTGCCATATGCAAATCAATAAATATAATACATCCTCAGAATGAATTACAAAATCATAAAAATCATCTCACTAGAAGTAGAGAACATTGGCTAAGATTCAGCATTGCTTCATGATTTAAAACTTATTGGAGGCTCATCCCTAACATGATCAAGAGTATAGAAGAAGCCACAGCCTGCATCATATTGAATACAGGGAAGCTGAAAGCATTTCCTCTGTTATTTTAAAAAAGACAAGGACATTGGTTCCCACCATTCTCGTTCAATATAGTCCTAAAGATGTTAGGATGAACGACAATAAAAGTGCAGAGAAGACAAAAAGGGAGAGAAGTCAAATGTCAAAAACTCCATTACGGCTAGCAGAATCTCCACTCTGGCGCCTAAAACCAACATACAAAACTCACTAGCATTTTAAAACATCAACAAAGGAATTTACTGGGCTTGGAAGGTGTCAGGGCAAATTCTTGCACTGGCAAGCCTTTGTTTGTAAGAAGGTGGTCTCGACTTTACTGCTGCTTTGAGTTAGTGCGGTGGGCATGCCTTATTCTGATATCAAGAAATGGCCTCAAACCTAGAGTAACTTTGGCCTACAAAATGATTTGAGGGCAAGAGCAGAAGGGGAAAATGCTGTGAAAGGGACAAGGTCATAAGGGTGACCAGATGACGGAAAAGTGGGAAAGGTGATCAAGACCCAAGAGGCAATACTGTGGGTGGGCGGATAGGGGGTGGAGCTGGAACTTTACATCCAGGCTCAAAGAGCTCCCAAGGGATATAAAAGGCAGACTGAGCACTAGGAAAGCAGCCTAGCCCAGTCCTGTCACTGGCTGAGTCTCCCAGAAGCTGCCCCACCAAGATGTCCTGCAGATTCGTGTTCCAGCTCCTGGGGCTCTGGCTGCTGCTGAGCCAGCCTTGCAGGGCGCGGGTCACGAAGGAGTGGCTGGACGAAGTCATCCATGTGTGCGGTCGGGAATATGTCCGTGCGGCTATCGATGTCTGCTCGAAGGCCATTGGCGTGGAGGAGCCAGCTAGGCGACATAGGCGAATGACAGGTGAGCCAGGTGAGCCAGCGCCCTCTTCCCTGCATTCTGTGCTTCCCACCGGCTGCCCACCAATTGGAAAGCCACAGTCCTCCGTGGTTTGTGATCCCCAGCCTCAAGTTTGGTCTTTATACCTTGCTTGGGTTCAAGAGTTTCAATGAGAACCCATCAGAGGGAGGTGGGCGTGCAGCCGCTGCCATCAATTTCGTGCTAGGGTAGCACTTGATCCAAATCTGGGATGTGGAGTGTGCCCAGGAAAACTCCTGCTCCCGGTATTGGTATTTGAGGCATGTCACCCAGCAAGCCTTGTCCTACATCTTTTTGAGTTGGGTCTTGCAGTTCAATCGAAAGAGTAGGGAAATGCAGGAGAAACCCTAGAGAAACCTGACGGGGATCAGTAAGAAGGGAGGCTCGCTTTTAAACTACCATGGCCAAAAACGCATTGGTGCTATAATCCAACGATTAAAAAGCAGGTACCCGTGTGAGCTCAAGTAGATTAAAATGTAATATTTGAGTTTAGTATCTATAAATTAAAACTATGGATTTCCAAGTAAGTCAAAAATATTTTAAATAAAGAATTTCAAGGCGCAAAACCCTGTAAGTTAACTCTGACCCAAACTATAACAGGCCTTTGCTTGTTTACTCTAAATACATAGAGAGTGATCATCAACTTTGCTTTGCCGCCAAGAAAGCCCTATCTGGACAAAATTTTTAGAGCAAGGAGGGACCAATAAGGTGAGTTAAGGTTAGAGAGTCTTACTGCAAAAAAGAGTTAAAGCTTCTGATACACATAAAATGGTACAGAATGTCACCTGCCATGCCCAGTTTAGACAATGAATGAGCCGGGAGCAGTGAGAAGATAAATTCCTTTCCCTCTGCCAAATTCCAACTGCTGAAGTGTATCATTGATATACTTCAATCCTCAGTAAACAACAGGATTGTCAGGAAGCTTTGTCCCAGGCACCTCTGTATAGGTGAAGGTTTTGGCTTTCTCTACAGGGTAAGCCTCCATGGCTAAACAGGCATCTCCCTTACACCCTTACGTTGTATCTCTTAGATTCTTTGGTTTTATTGCTTCCAGAGGAATGACTTACTGCTAAGCTGAAGAGCAGCAGCAAGAACTGAGCCTTTGTACTAAAACTGAAACATAACCAACATTTCCAGTTTTTTTGATATGTATGAAGAAGGCAGGTGCCAGGTGTTTCTAAAGGGGTTCCCACAGCACTGGGCAAACCCCACACTTAACACTCTGGCACACCCTGGGAGACACCGTTCTCTTTGGGAAGCACATGGCTTGGGATTACCGTGCTTTTAGCCACCGGTTCTCAACGTGTGGGTCTAGACCCCTGGGGGCAGGGGTCACATAGCCTGCATATCAGGTATTTACATAACGATTCTCAGCAGTAGCAAAATTACAGTTATGAAGTAGCAATGAAAATAATTTTATGGTTGGGGGTCACCACAGAATGAGGAACTGTATCAAAGGGTCAGGCACAGCATTAGGAAGGATCAGAAGTACTGTTTAAAGCTGGGTCTCTCTGCAATATGCAATATCATTGATTGGAGCCAACACTCTGGGGAAGAAAGATTGCCATGGAAGTGCTTAGAGACATACTTGCCCCTCTGGTCAGAGCTGAACTGCTGTGAAATTCTGTCACTTAAACTTTATCCTGAAGCAGTAACTTGATATTACGGGCCACTTACAATCTTCAAATTTTGAAAATAGTTTTCAAGGATTACTTACTTTCACAACTCAAAAGCAATGAAGAAAATTACTCAGGCTAGAAAGCATGTAAATGACTGGGGTTTTGTTTTGTTCTGTTTTGCTTTGTTTTGAGACAAGGTCTCTCCACACAGTCCTGGCTGTCTTGAAACTCACTCTGGCTGGCCTTGACTTACTTCCTTGAGATCTACCTGCCTCTGTCCCCCAAGTTCTGGGATTAAAGGCATGTAGCACTAGAAAACATGAAAACTAGTATTTTCAATGGCCAACATGATTTCAGAAAAATAAGAGTTCATTATCAAAGGGTGAAAATTATTGTGATGAAAAAGCAAGAAAGAAGTGCTTAAGAAAGATGTTGGCCGGTGCTCAGGAGGCAGAGGGTCTCTGTGAGTTCGAGGCCAGCCTGATCTACAGAGTGCCAGGAAAGGCTCCAAAGCTACACAGAGAAACCCTGTCTCGAAAAACCAAAATAAATACATAATAAATAAATAAATAAATAAATAAATAAATAAATAAATAAAGATGTTGGAAGGCCATGTGGAATAAACAGAACCTTGGCAAGAACAACCATTTAGATAGTCAATACCTGCTGATTGTGTGTCAGTGTTTAATTGTATCCTGGCAAAATGGGTTTTGTTTTTTTGTTTTTTTCTATTCAACTGTCTGCAGTTTCCTGAATGTTCCTTGACATGACCTGTTTCAGTGTTTAATTATATCCGGGAAAAATAGGTTGTTTTTTTTTTTTTTTTTTTCTATTCAACTGTCTGCAGTTTCCTGAATGTTCCTTGACATGACTGTTCTCTCCCCACCCACTTTCTTTTAAACGTAACAGAAGCTATAACCTCCTTCATCAAGGAAGACGCACAGCCTTTTGAAACGATGCCTAAACGCCTTCCAAATTCATCAGAGGAGCCCCAGGCAGCACTGTCTGAGGGGCATCCCTCTCTGCCTGAGCAGCAACAATATGCGCCTGTATCGAGCGATTCAGTTGGTAGCTTGGAAGACTTTAAGGAAAGTTTCGGTGCTACACAAGGTGAAGCCAAAGACAGCAGTCCTCCAGAGCTGAAATCCTTACACTTGGACACTCTTTCCCGGAAAAAGAGGTACACCGGTGTTTACATGAGTCATCAGTGCTGCTTCCGGGGTTGCTCAAGAAGATCTCTTGCTAGCATCTGCTGATCTGGAGCTGAGGGTGTACAACTCGCCCAGCGTTCACACGCATTCGTGCCCCCTGCTCGATGCCGCTTTCTGTTCCTCTTGATCATTTCCGGCAATCTGAGAAATGGATGTTTACATATGGATTTGTCATTTGACGTGAAAGAAATGTTCTCTGCGTTATTGTAGCTCTGTTAATAATACATTTATGCAAAACTCCTTTTGCCCTTTGAATCTTATTGTTTTTGAATAATATCCCTTTAAAATGGCTATAGAATCTTACCACATAACCATATATAATAGTTCAGCTTAATACAATGCCCTCTTAGGAAATCTTAAGCCGTCTTCTGGCCTCTGCAGGCACCACACACGCAAGTGACACAGACATACATGCAGGCACAATAGCCATACACGTACAATTAAAGAGTAATGGTAAAATAAAATGCATATAAATATTTATTTATTTATTTAATATATTTTAATAAATCCACTCAACTGTGCTAATGATATGGACTGGGTAATAAATATGAACAAAAGATGGCTCCATTCACTAATGAGCTTTTAACAAAAAGATTTTAAACACTAAACAGTGTAATAATAAACTAAAATGATGTCAGAAGTAGGGAAACAGTACAAAGTAACTCATACATTCTCCTTTATTGACTTATTCATTAATTTACCAAATACTATGAACTTACTAGTAGTTAATTGATTATTTGTTGATAATACTATTAGTTTTATCTATTACACTAAAGCATTGTTAAGAACCTACTGTTTTCCAGACACTGTTCAAGGCAAGGAAGACATCACAGGAAACAAATTAGATGAAGATTCTTACCTGCTGGAGAACACATTCTGGTAGGATGGGAGTAAACAAACAAAGAAGCTAAATTGACCACATGTCAGTATGTAAGGGGTGGCATCTGAAAATACAAAGCAAGACAATAGGGTTACTATTGCTGTGATGAAACACCATACATAACCAAAGCAACTTGGGGGGAAAGGTGCTTATTTGGCCTATGTTTCCACATCACTGTTCATCACTGAAGGATGTAGGGATGAAAGTCAAACAGGGCAGGAACCTGGAGGCAGGAGATGCAGAGGCCATGGAGAAAAGCAGCTGGCTTGCTCCCATGGCTTGATCAGCCTGCCTTCTTAGAACCTATGACCACCAACACAGAGGTGGCTCCACCCACATTGGGCTGGACCCTCCCCATCAATCAGTGATTAAGAAAATGCCCAACAAGCCTGCCTTCAGCCCAATCCTATGGAAGCATTTCCTCAGTTGGGGGTCCCTCGTCTCCAATGACTCTAGCTTGTGTCATGTTAACAAAGAACTAGCCAGAACTGGTGTAGAAAGCACAGAGCATCATGTAAATCAGGTGGGCTGGTACATATATTTTCATCTTTAAGTCTCCATCTATAAATGATGGGTATGCTCTTCTCTCACAGCGCTCCCCTAAAGAGTTCTGAGTAGAACATATGGCCCAGTGTAGTTTGGACATTGGTTATTTCTCAAGGAAAGTGATGAGATTATCCTAATCTATATTATATCATCTTTAATAACTCAGACTGACAGTTGAATTTACAGTATTCATGGATGCCACTAGAACTGTGGCAAAAACCAGGGGAACAGAAAATGGAGAAGAGAGAGTCAGAAGTCAGAAAGAAATTACAGGTGGACATGCCGACTATATTACTTACATGCCTTTCTGTGGCTGGCATTCTGAAGTTGATGAAACTACTTCCATATAATAAAATTCCATTGGAAGTGATGAACAAGGCAGTTATCAATGCAGAGGCTCATAATGACTCAAAGTAGAGCGAATAAGTGATTGATTATCTAGTTCTTAGGCCTAACCTCGACATCTATATCACCTCCATCAAGGCCCACGGGATGTCGGGGAAGAGTGAAGTGGCAAAAACTGAAAAGCTTTAAAGCATGGGGAAGAGTGCTCTGCAAAGCTTTCTCTTGGACATGGACCTGGCAATTTGTGCCCTTCAGCGTTCCGTCAAGCATCAGGGATTGGGTTGAGAGCGCTTATGAGGTCTTACCCCTCCCTGAGAGGTGTCAGTTTCTGCAGGGGTGAAGTTGTCCATGATACAGGAAGTAACTTACCCATGCCCATTCAAGCCACTCAGTGAGTCAAAAGAAGAGCTTGGTTCAACATACATGAGTAAATATGTGTCATTCAACACATAAATGGCTCCAAGGGCAGAAACCACAAGACCATCTCAGTTGACATAGAAAAAGCCTTCTACAAAGTTCAGCATCCCTTTTGTGATAAATACCCTGTAGATACTAGGAATAAAATGAACATGTATCAACCTAACACATCTTTGGGCAATATTATGCCAAATGGGAAAAAAACTGAGAAAATGTGCCCAAAATTATGAAACAAAGCAAGGTTTCTCTCTATTGACTGGAATATGGTGCTAAAATTCTTAGAGCAACTAGAAAAAGAAATGCAAGAGATACACATATAAAGGAATGAAATCCAAGTATCCCTACTTGCTGATGACACCATCTTATTATACCTAAGAGATACTAAAGATTGTCCCATTTATCCATCTCTTTTGAAAGATAGCTTTGGTAGCCACAGCAATCTTGGTCAGAAGTCATTGAATTGCTGTTCTTGATATGCATCTCTCCCATGCTGTCCTCCTTAAGATTCTTCCTTACAAGAAACCCATGCTACTCTGTTTCTGTCAACCAAACAAACAAACAAACAAACAAACAACAAAAAAACAACCCTAAAACAGATACATACACAAATGGAATAGTATACCAGACCCCAAAAGAAGCTACACATTTATAGCCACTTAATTTTTGGCAAAAGTACCAGAAATATATTATGGAGAAAAGATAACCACTTTAACAATGAACACTGAGAAATCTGGATTTCCACACAAAGAATGAAATAGATTCTGCCAAGCTGTATTTTATTTTAATTCAAAATTCTTCAAAGACTTTGAAACTTGAAACTGTGAAACTGCAAGAGGAAAACATAGGGTAAACACTTCAAAATCATTATACCAGACACTTTGTGAAAATGACTCCCAACAGCACAGCATGTAATCCCAATATTAAAAACTGTGGTCATATGATATTAAAAAGCTCCATACAACCCAAAACAAAAACCCAGCCACCACAGTAAAGAGGTAGCGTACAGTATGGTGGAAATTATTTACTAATTACACATTCAACAAGGCAACAATATTCATCCAGTATGAAGAACAAGCTACTGGTTTTCATTAGTGTGGAATCTCTTCTTCTGCCTCCTCAGTGTGTCTGTACTGGTAAACAGAATTTCCTGTGGGCAGAATACTGTTAGATTGGATGAGTTATATATGTCTAAGATCATTGGATCTTCAGTTTTTAAACCCATTCAGGCTATATCTCATTAGTTTTTTAAGAAAATAATTTTCCTTTTCATTTTTGATAACACATTAACGTTATGTATTAATGTGTGTCAGTGTGACAACACAGGTTCATATGTAAACCATGTACTAGATAAATCTAGTCTCCTTTTGTCCATCACTACTCCCTTCCCAATCTTTTGTTTCCTATATACACATGTAGGATTTATTTTTTACATTTTTATACACTGTTTGGTAAGAAATAGTATGGAAGCAACTAAAAATAGGATGGTATATTAAAAATACTACTAATTTTTAAGTCTTGTTACATTGACATTTGGGAAGGAAGAAAAGCTAACTCCCGTTGTGATGTATATCCCAGAATTACCATACCAGAGAGATTCCTGTGCACCCCATGTACACAGTTCACAATAGTCAAGATGGGACCCAATATAGTAAAGATACACAATGGAATATTATTCAGCCACCAGGAGAATGAAATCCTATTTCTTTGTAGCAGTGGATAGAATTGGAAGGCATTGTGTTAAGTGAAATAACGGAGGTACAGAAAAAGAAATACCATCTCTTTTTTTTCCTCCTTTGAGGAAGTCAGTGTATTTTTTACCCTTTGGGATCTAGTGCGGTTACATTTATCTTTATTAATGGCTAAACACTTAAACTGTTATTTTGCTAATTTTCTTGATTGATGTCTTCCATTTTATTCCACTTGCTTTGGTTTAATATATTGTTATAGTGGACTTTATCTACTTCTCTTTTGTGTTTCAATTGAGCCTTATTCTTTCAGTATTCTCATGGTGGTAGCTTTTGTTCTTTCATTTGTGGTTTAGGACTTGGCTAAGTGTCTGGTGAAACTTGCACTAGTGGTAATGGTTTCCCTGATTTTGCTTCTTCGTGGTTTTCATTTCTTTTTTCTTCATTTCTGAATGGCAGCTTTGTCAAGAACAATTTTCCTGGTTGTTAAGTATTTTCTTTCATAATTTGGAATCAATCATTCCCTTACCTTCCCATGCTGAAGACTTCTCTTTGTAAAGCAGCTGTTGGACCCATGGGAGCCTTGAATGGGACTTTTTACTTTCCTCACTTAGGTTTTAAAGTTTTTTCTTCTTTAAAGATTTAGAGGGGTTTTTTAAAACGTGTGTGTGTGTGTGTGTGTGTGTGTGTGTGTGTGTGTTCATGCACTCATGTGCAAGTTTGTGTGTGGGAACATGCCTGAGTGTGTATATGCATGCATTCATGTGTGCCTGTGTGTATGAATACAGGTGCCTGAGGAGTCCAGAAGAACATGTCTTGTCCCCCAGAGCTGAAATTACCTTGTATTTTTAACAGTGTGACTAAATATGCCTCAGAAGGTTATTCTTACCATTCTACTTGGGGATCCATGTGGCTTCTATACATGTATGTGTACCTTTGAGATTAGGGAATTTTCTATTTGCAACTAATCATTTACTGGATTTTGTTTGTTTCTTTGTTTTTAAAATTGTTTTTTTCTATTTCTTTGGCTTCTGGTGCTCAAATGTACTTACTCCTTAACAATATCTCAGAGGCACTATATTCTTTTCCTTCTATTTCTTTTTTTATTTTATTTATTTTTATTTTGCAAGCGTTTGGTGTTTGTCTGCAATTCTATTTGGGTGAGGGTATTAGATGTCCTGGAACTGGAGGTACAGACATGTGTGAACTACAAATTGATCTTAGGTCCTTGGAAGAAGAGCCAGTGCTCTTCACCAGTGAGCCATCTCTCCAGCTCCTTCCTCCTCTTTCTTTTCTGCCTGAGATATTTAAAGATATGACTTCAGGCTCAGAGTTCTTCACTTTTTGAGCTACCCTGTGTGGCTAGTATTTCTTTATAGCTTGGTCCCATGGATGATTTGCCCCAAACAAACACACAAAGACTTATATTAATTACTAACTTGTTGCCTGATAGCTAGGGCTTATTATTGGCTAACTCTGTCTTAATTATTAACTCATTTCTATAAATCTATGTATTTCCATGTGGTCTTGGCTCACCAGAGAATGCTTAGACCTGTTACTCCCTTGTCAGCTACATGGCATCTCCTCATGTCAGCTCTCTGCCTCAATCCCCAGCATCCTTCTCATATCCTAGCCCCAGCTGCACTACTGGCCAAACTGAGTTTTATTCATCAACCAATAAGAGAAACATATATACAGAAGAACATCCCCTGTCAAGTCTGTATTTAACCTTTGAGCCTCATTTTCAGGTGACTTATCAAGCTCTTCATGTCTAAGTTTTCTTTTTCCTTCTTTTCCAAGATATCAAGCACTACCTTAATTGTTAGGTTCATCACATAATTTGTTTTCCTAACTTTGTTCTCCTTGTGTTGCCTTTAGTGCTGGTCACTTTCCTGCACTCATTCTTTGATTTGGGATTCTTTATGAGGTATTTTGTTAATATAATACCCTTGTGTGGAAGTCTGTTGTTTGTGTGTTCCTTTAGAGGCATCATGTGTTTTTTCATATTTTTGTGTCCCTAAGCTGATATTTACACAGTGATGAACCACATGTGGCTTTTATAGCCCTTTTGTGG